TTGGTCTCCTCACTGGGCGAGGCGCACGGGCGACGTAATGAATATATTTGCATATCGGAGCCGTTACCGAACCGTTACCGGTACAACGTTCGCTTGGATGGTACAAGGTCGCCTGCGGCTGCCAAATATGCATGCATCTCCTACCCCCCTTTCGCCACCCTTTTCTCCTCTTGGGAACCAAGTCTCCAACGTCTGAACCACCACCACCTCCACCACCACCATCAGCAGCACAGCAGAAGCAGCAGCACCTCACCATGCATATAACACTCACGGAAGATAGAATTGCCGATTAGTTTGTGAACTAGGTACAGTCGATGCGCTCGAGCGAACCGCCAACCTCCTTCCTGGCTGAACGTTTCACGTATCCTATCCAACCCTGTCTACTCTTGTACACATTAGCAAGACAAAGTTCCGGAACTTAAGCACCAGCTCCCTAACTTTTATTGACATCACTGAAAATATAAAATCTCTTCCGTTCTTTAATTAACCATTATTCTTTCCCCATCTGACAAAGTTCTATAGAATTTCACTAGAATCATTCTATATGAATGATTCTACACTGAAGAAAAAATTTATTTGATTTTAATAGCCGATTAATTGATTATTATCAATTAAATATTTACTTAAACCAAATAATATTTATTAGTGCCAATTAAATGGTAATTAAACCAATAATTCCAGTATTTGAAGCAAATACCATTTAATTGACTCAGATAAATATTATTTGATTCAATTAAATATTTAATTGATAATACCTAGTTAATTATTCGGTTATTTGAATCAAATAAATTATTTTTTCAGTGTACAGAATTTCTACATGAATTCTACTGTATTTTAGTGATTTTTAATTAGAAAGAATTTAAATTCGTGAAATAATATTTTTCAACTTTATATTATTGTGTAATTGAATTTTACATTTGATTTCTACGACATATTTTAGGCGAAAATTGTTTATATTATTTAAATAAATATAATTCATTTAACTTAGTAACAGGGCTCGAACCAATGAAAGTATTTAAAAATACGAATTTTACGGAACAAAAATGAAAAATTAAGGACCAATTACTGACAAAAATATAACCAGTCCGAGTCAAATAAGAGAACATTTTACTTAAAAGTATAAATGAAATTTTCTTCATAACTATAAAACGGCAAATTTATTTAAATAAAAAAACAAATAATTTATTGAACAATTGAATGTTTCTTAAAATTCAAAATTCTCATAAAGAACTTTACCAACATATTTTTAAATAATTGAATTCTTTCGACGATTTTTAAAAAAAATGTTAAGAATAATTACATTTTACGAGAAATTCGATTAAAATTGTATTAAAAATAATTAAAATTCTGCATTGAGTTTTACTATTTATGAAAATAATTGAATTCCTCAGAAGAATTTTACTATTTTTTAACTTAATTAAATTTTTGTGAAGGATTTTATTACTCTTGAAAACAATTGAATTTCTGCAATCATTTGTAACCACTCCAAAATTAATTTTTTTTTTAGTGTTAACTAAAATTTTTCTATAAATCCATTATTTTTAATAATTTTATAAATAGTTTTTTGAGAATTTTCAAATTCATTTGTTTTTAAATGAAATTCATTTTTAAATCAATTTTTAATGTAAAATTCTACTAGAATTCAATTATTTAAATACAAAAAATAATTTATTGAATATTTGAATGTTTCTTGAAATTCAAATCTCAGAAAGAACTTTATCAACAAATTTTTGAATAATTGAATTCGTTTGACGAATTTTAATAAAATTTTTAATAATAATTACATTTATCGAGGAATTCGATTAAAATTTTATTAAAAATAATTGAAATTCTGCGATGAATTTTACTACATATTTATGAAAATAATTAAATTCCAAAAAAGAATTTTATTATTTAGAAAAATAATTGAATCCCTGTAATAATGTTATTATTTATAATATCAAAATAATTGAATTACATTGCGAAGAATGTTATAAAAAATTTGTAAATAATTGAATTTTTGTGAAATTTCTAATACTTTATGAAAATAATAGATATTTAAAATCATTAAATTGAGGAAAATTTTTGATAATAATTGAAATTTTACCAAGAATTTTATTAAAATTTTTTTAAATAATTGACTTTCGGAGAAGAATTTTATTATTTATAAAGATACTTGAAATTTTGACAAGAATTTTAAAAAACTTTTGAACATAATTGAATTTCTGTTAAGAATTTTATTACATTTGAAAATAATAATTGCATTTTTGCAATCATTTGTAATTTCTTTAAAATTTTCCGAAATTTCTTCGAGAATTCAATTATAAAAAAATTTAATTTCTTATAATATAACTTTAACTCTTCAAGGTTTTCGATTAGAAATTATTAAGATGAATTCTTGAAACTATATATAATCAAAAATATTAAAAATAATTTAATTTAAAAAAATTGTAATAAAAAATTTTTTTAATGAATTTTTTGAAAATATATTTTTAAATGGTTTTTGCTACCAAAATCTCGAAGGAGAAAATATTATTGAAATAATCGTTGAGATTAAAACGAACTGATCAGTAACATTATCGAAATAGTTTGACGAGAATATTATTGAAATGATCCTACTCGAAAACGTTATTGAAATAATACTCTAGTTTATTATAGGAATATTATAGATATATTAAAAATTATACCCAAATCGAACGTATTAACTAAAGAGAATTTAATTGTTTAACTGCGTTTGTAAATAAATTTTCTACTCAAGGCGCGAATTTTAATTGAATTTAATAGAATTCGAAATTACCAATCAGTAGGAAATTATTTCGAATTCTACACTGTAAAGAAAATTTATTTTCTTCAATTAAACGATTACTTGTCCTTTGGCAAATAAATAAATACTTGAATCGAAAAATGTTTCTTTTAATCAAATAAATTGTATAAATGAATCAACAATTTTAGTATTTGAAGCAAGAATATTTATTGATAAAGAATATTTGTTAATATTATTTATTAAATATGTTTATTTGAAGCAAATACCATTTAATTGACTTAAAAAAATTATTTCATTGAAGTAAATATTTATTTGATAAAATAGATAATATTTGATTGACAAATAATCTTTTATTTAAATCAAATAAATTTTTTTTTCAATGAATTAGCCAAAGAAACTGAATTTTTTAAAAATAAAATCGTAACATTTTAAAAAAAATATAAATTAGTAGTCTTTTTTTAAGAGAAATAAAAAAAATTGACATTAGATACATCGATCTGGATCAAAATCAATATTTCTTATGAGGATATTCAGTTATTGTGTATCGGTCAATTCATCCTCAAAAAAATACAAATAGAAAAACTAATATCATAAACAATAAAATAAATCGATTGTGGAAGTAAAGAGAAAATTCCATAGTGACAAAGTGAAATGAAAAAGAATTTAGAGCCAGTCATTCGAAAATAATTGGCTCTTAATAAATAAAAGATAAAAATTGCACAGTACCTTTTTTTTTGATGAAAACAAAAACAATTGTTCATATTCTAAACTATTTTTTTTATAATTTTTCATTTCTCCAGTTAGTTTTTAAATCAAAATAAACAGTAACGATAAAAGCGAAATTTAAACAAAATTACTTTATATTATTTACTCTATTGTAAATAACCAATTGTAAATTAATTACAATTGTACAAAAAGTAGTATATTTCTTCCTCTTACAAACTATTTGAATTTCTCTCCTAGAAATCAGAAATAAATGTTTGCCTTTACCTTTAATTAGATAAAGAATTTCACGATTTAAATGAAAATAATATGCAGAATAAATAAAATGTTTACTTTCTTTCCACTTAAAAACTATATTTGAATCTTTCCTCCTGTATGTAGAGAATAAATTTATAGATTTTCCACTAATTAAAAAAAAGCTTGATTAATAAAAACTTCGTTCAATTAAAAATAACACGCAGAACTGAAAAATTGATATTTGTTGATGAATAAATTATTAATTTTCTTTTTCACTCGTAAAAATTATTAATTTCTTCTCTTACTAATAAGAAAGCTTTTCTCCTACAGCTACTAGTAAAAAATACCTTTCAGCTTTATTAATAAAATAAAACAAAAAATGTTGTAAACTTTATTAATAAAAAAAATATTTCATCAATAATAATTCTACTTCACTGAAAATAACTCTTGGATTTTTCTCTCTCTTAAAAACTATTTAAATTTTTTCTTCTACTAATCAAAGATAAATTTACTCATTTTTAATTAATTAAAAAATTTTCCGATCGATGAAAACTTTAGTTAAATGAAAATAACTTACGCAAAATAGGCAAATTTCATATTTGTTAATAAAAAAAATTGTTAATTAATATTTTCCCGTCTTAAAAACTATTTAAAGATTTTTTCCTACTAATCAGGAATAAATTTATGCAGTTGTTATTAAGTAAACAATTTTTTCTATTAGTGAAAACTTCATTTAAATAAAAATAACTTGCATAATAGGCGAATTTGATATAATTGTTAATTAATTGTATTCTTTATTAGAAACAATTAAAATTTCTTCTTCTACTGATAAAAATGAATGTGTGCCCTCGTCATTAATTTCAATTTTTTCCTCCTCAATGGAAACTTTACTTTAATTAAAATAATTTAACAATTAATACCAAATTCATTTTGATATTTATTTTTTAAAAAAATTGTTAATTAATTTTGTTCTCTCTAAAAAAACTATTGAGATTTCTTCTTCTACTGATAAAGAAATTTTCATTCTTTTCTTTATATAAAAAATTCTATTTAAAATTAAAAAATTTACTCGCACCTAAAAAAATATAAAATAGTTGTGCCCGTGTCCCTAGAAAAATATATTTAAGAAACACATAAATATTTTTGCAGTATTACACAAGAAAAATTCACTTTTTATTTGAAAAAATATGCAATTTTTTTTAATTAACATATTAATTCAATTTGGTGTCACTATGAAATTTTCGAATTATATTACAACTTGACTCCGCCACAAAATCTGGAGGCAGGAGGGACTTACCAGTAGCTGATTATCTTCGTTGACGCAATATGATGCATTGCTCCCACTGCTTCTGCTCCTTCATCTTGTGAATTATTTTGTTGTTTAAAATTGAAAATGCAGGCCAAAATTTATTTTTAAAAATCCAATCCAAGTATTAATGGGAAAATTTCGACCCTTTTTTGATTTTTCAGTAGTTGAAATAATTAATAAATCATTTCTTATTGATCGAAGTACCTTTTTTATTCTCTACATCTGTAAACAAAAGAAACCAAATTAAAATCAGTTCAATTAATTCGTGATTAAAATTTAACAAAATTAGTTTAGTATTCTCGAAATTTAGTTTCCTAAATAAATTTATTTAGAATTATCAAAATTTAGTTTTCTAAAAACTAAATTTATTTATTATTGTCAAAATTCAATATTTCAAATACAAAATTTATTTACTATTCCCAAAATATAGGAAAAAATTTACGTATCACAAGTATTTGCACTCAAACTTAATATTTTCTATTCAATTTCATAATAAAAAAGAGAAAACAAAAAAATATCGAAAGTTTTTTGCCCCCATCATCCACTACAAATGAATAAGAAATAAAATCGCAAAAAATAAAAAGAAGGGGGAAAATATGCCGATAAATAAAAACAATTGGAACTAATCGAAATATAACGACGGTGTGACCAATCACAGAATAGAAAAATAGAGAACGTAAACTTTCCCGATGAAGCTAAAGTGAAGAGGAGACAGTGCGGGGGAATTGGTTTGCCACCGGATGTGCAGAACAAACGGAAATAAAAGCCAGAAATTAATATCCAAGCGCGCCTTTGTAATTGGATATTGTCCGGTCAAATTAGTGTTTTAATTTCGCTAAATTGCGCCATAGCATTTTTTGCACACGCCTTCATACCCCATTGAATTTCTCGAGTGCAGGGAATATCTGGTTAAAAAAAAGAGAAGAAAAAAAAGCCACCCCCTTTCCCTACTGAGACCGTATCAATTCCAGTTCGTTTGGCGATCTGTGATGTTAGCGCCATCGAAATCCCATGCGGAGAAAATTTTTTAACCCAAAAAGCTGCCGCCGACCTTTTACTGATGGTCATAAGGGAGGAGAGAGAGAGAGAGGCTCGAGTGACGATGTAATAGGGGGAGAAATTCATTCGTAGACCAAGGGAGAAAATTGTCTGGCCAGAGAACATTGGTTTGCATGTTGAAATATGCTGACTTTTACAAGCGAGCAAGGACTGAAAATGAAGGCCGAAGAGAGGAAAAAGAGAGAGAGAGAGAGAAGTAGACCACAAAGGCTGCGGTTGGCTCAATTTTATACCCGGGTAGTAGACGTGTCCCCGGCAATTATGAACTTTTAAAAAGTCCGAAAGGACCTTTTATATATATATATATATATGTATATGGAGGAACCCCTCTTTCTTCTTTCACGTTGTCAAAAATGATGCGTTGACGTCTCTTTTGCCTTTTCTGCAACAACCCCTCTGACAGACGGGCATCATGTCCCCTAAGATTAGTCCGGAACATTACCAAGTTTCGTAAAACTTTTAGATTAATAATAAAACAGTTTCCTTGATCCATGATTTCGACACGTCTCTCTCCTTAGCTTTCCTTCTAGAATGTAGTTTAATTTAAAAATTTATTTTCTTATTTCATTTATGAGTATGACGGGCGTCAAACGTTTTGACTTTTTTTCACTTAACTTGTGACATCTGATATATTTGACATTTTTACTAATATAATGGAGCATTTTTTTTGCTTTCTGCTTCTCTATTTTTTGAAAGAATATGTAAGTATTCTAAAAAATTGATAAAATTAAAAGTACCTAATTAAATTAAATACCTTAGCTCCAATTATTGGGAATATTTCTTCATTTTTAAAAAGAATTACCAAAAAAAATTTAATTTTGATTTTCCCTGAATTCCAGAAAAAAATTTAGACTTTTTCCCTAACCCTGAAGATTATTCTGATTCATTCCAAAAATTATTAGTTTTTCAAAAAAATGTTGTATTACATTTATTTACGAATTTCTTTAATTGTAAAATTATTCAAAAACATCAATAATTTCTTTTTTTTAAAAATATTTAATCATTACCTATTATTTTTCTATAGAAATTAAGATTTTCAAATTCAAACCTTCTGAAGTTCAATAAATTTTAAGAATAATGTTATAAAACATGAAGAAATTTAAGATGACAGCGTGATAAAATAATTATTTTATATCATCAGAGAATATTGTAACAAAAAATTCAAATTTTCAAACATTTTAATTTGAACTCTTTTTAAAATTCAATTATTTCTAAAAATTCACCCTATAATGCTTTTAATATTCATTTATAATATAAAATTTCCAGTGAAATTCGTTTTTCAATCAATTTTTATTAGTAAATTCTTCGAGAATTCAATTATTTATATAAAAAAATAAATAATTTCTTAAATATTTGATTATTTCTCAAAACTGAATTTATATGAAGAATTTTATCAACAAATTTTAAAAATAATTGAATTCTTTCAGCGAATTTAAAAAAAAAAATTTAAGAATAAATGCAATTTTCTATCATTTTATTTCAAATTGTACAAAAAATAATTTAAATTTTAAATTTTGCGATAAGTTTTGTTATTTTATGAAAATAATTGAATTCTTGCAACGAATTTTATTAATAATTTTTTTAAAGAATTGAATTCCTGTGAAGAATTTTATTTTTGAAAATAATTGAATAAAAAAATATTATTAATTATGAAAATAATTAATTTCTTGTGAAGAATATTATTCAAATTTTTTTAAATATTTGAATTCCCATAAAAAATGTATTATTTGTGAAAATAATTAAATTCTTAAGAAGAAATGTATTGAAAATAATTGAATTATATAGGAAAATTTTAATAAAATTGCAATTTTATTAACTAAATCTTGTAAAGAATTTTGTCAACATTTTTTTTTAAATAGAATTTTTAAAAGAAGTTTATTTAAATTTTTCAAAATAATTGAATTTCTCAGAACTATTTTTTTTTAATTTTCTGAATATATTTGAATTCCTTCAAGAAAATTCATTAAAAAATTATAAATAATTGAGTTGGTGCGAAGAAATTTATAAAAAATTGATAAGTAATTAAATTCCTGTGATTATTAATATTTTGTTTAAATAATTGAATTCTTTTAAAAAATTTTATTAAAATAGTGGAAGTGAGGAAAATAATTGAAATTTTGACATGAATTATGTACAATTTTTTTTAAAAATAATTGAATTTCGGAGAAGAATTTTATTATTTATGAAGATAATTGAAATTTTAATGAGAATTTTTTAAAATTTTTGAACATAATTGAATTTATGCGAAGAAGTTTATCATTTTTGAAAGTAATTAAATTTCTGTAAACAGTTGTTCTTAAAATTTCTATTTAAATTCATTAAAAATTGATATTTTCTAAAATTTCAAAATGAAATCTTTGAAGTTTATCTATTTATGAAGATTGTAAACGCAACTCTTTTGAAATTCGATTAATTTTTAAATTTTTTAATAAAATTATTCTTTAAATAATTTATAAATCATAATTTTATGATAGTTTTTCAAGAATTAAGTTATTTAAAAAGAAATTATTATCAGAAATTGAAAAAATTGAAGGGTTTGAATTTGAATTCTTTGCAATATTTCATAGTTTATGAGGCAAACGAAAAAGACACTAAAATTCCGAATTTACTTATGAATTCAAAAAATTTAATTTTCTCCAGTACTTTTAATAAAAATTTCTGACTTTTCTCTGACTAATTTTAATTTACCTGACTTTTCCCAGAATTCTCTGACATGTGACAACCCTGTTGAAATACTGCAGTAGAGGAAACATTTTCAAATTTGAGTTTTTCTTCGTCACAGAAAAAAATTTTAATATCTTTTGAATCCACTCCTTTCTTTAGTTTCTCGAATTTTGCAATTTTTTGTAACTGAAAAATATTTACATTTATCATTAACGAAGTAAATAAATAAAATAATAAAGTTAATAAAAAATAGAATAAACAAGATAAATAATAAAGTAAATAAAAAGTAGAATAAGTAAATAAAATTAATAATAAAATAATATAATAATTAATGATAAATACAAAAATAGAAAAAATAATCTGATATTAAAATCATATTTACTTTTCGTTATTTCTTTTTATATTTTATTCATCATTCAAGAAAATATCCAAAGAAAAAAGCTCTTGGCTTAAATCCTCTGTTTTGGTTCAATTTATTCGTTTTATAATTTTAGGTTTTTAAAATATTTTAAAAACAATTATAATCATTTTCTTTTCAGATTTTCTTTTCTTATAATTTTTTTTAAGTTGAGAAAAAATTAATAAAAACAAAAATTTATTAAAAGAAAATTAGAAAATAAATGAAACCAATAAAACTGCAAATGGAAAAGTAAAATAAATAATAAAATAAAGACTAAAACTAATTAAAAAGAGAAAAAATATTCTGAAATTTAAATAATATTTACTTTATCGTTGTTTTTTTTAATATTTTATTCGACAGTTAAGAAAATATCTAAGGAAATATTAAAAAATAAATATAATCTTTTTCTGTTCAGATTTTCTTTTCTTATAATTTCTTTTACGTTGAGAAAAAAATAATAAAAACAAAAGTTTATTAAAAGAAAAGAAAAGCAAAAAAATTTTAATTAATAAATTAATAAAATTTGTATAGTTAAGAAATTATTTTTAATAAAACAAAAACAAACATTACCTCAAACACTATTTTTGCGAAATTATGTAAATAAATAAATAATTTTCCTCTTCGTGCAAATATGTTTTTCGATAATTATATTCTTTTCACTTTTTCCTGACATGCATAATTAGAATCGTGTTGGAGCTTTAAATATGCAGTTGTATTGATTGTCAATCAGCTATCGGTACTTAATTTATTTATCAATTTATTAATTTTTTAATTATTAAATTTCCGTATTTCTCTGCAGTGATGAAAAATAATTTAATATTATTTCTTGTAAAATGTTTACAAATTTATTCGTTCCATCCTTTCTCATTTTGTATGGAAAAAAACTAGAAAAACAAAGAAAATAAATATAAATATCGTAAATTATCATAAAATGGAAATAAAATAATTATTCCCAATTAATATTTCCAACTATTTAAATAAACAATTTGACACATACATTTATTGACAATTGTTATGTCAAGCAAAAAACCTAACCTCAAAATTTGATTATACTTTTTGGAAATTCATTTAAATTCTTTTCAAAATGATAAAAAATATACAACTTTTTTCAATTAGATTAAACTCTTTCTGTTGTTATTTAAATATTAAATTTAAGGTTAAAAAATTTGTTAGAAAAAAATCGGATAATAAATAAATGATAAATAAGATAAATAGTCACCTTCTATGTCAAGTTTCAAGAGCAAATATTTATCATTTTTGACATTAGTATTTACCGAATTCTTGGTTTAAATCGATATTCAAATATACTCTTTCAATAAAATATGTCAAATGACAAATAATTATTTAAACAGAATAATAAACTTTATATAAATACTTTCAAAACATGTTCTTCGTTAAACTGTCAATATTTACGGTATTTACCTTTGCAATATGGCTGACCGGAAGTATGAGCTTACACAAGAATCAAGAATGTCAGTAGTACCAACTGCAGAACAAAAATAGTTGTTATTCACAAAATTCTACGATATATTTACAAAAAGTAGCAATTAAATTACTATTGCCTTCTATTCTATTAATATTAGTCTACAATTTTTTCTTTTAATTTAATCATTCTATCTTTTCAATGTAATAAAAAATAATTGTCTACTTATGGAAACTCGCCTTTATGTTCGGATCACACCCCTTCCTAAGCTCAGTAATTGCAGAGCAGCTGATTGGCTCTTCTTATAGACAATGATAATTAATCGGTATAGACCAATAAAATTTTCGCAATTGTGCCGCCATTTTAAGAGGTCATTGACCTGGCGCTCACTTCACTTTCATTATTGTGGCGTCATTTTTTGTAGTAAACGCATTGCAGTGTTTTTTTTCTTTAAAAAAAGTATATAAATTACGAGTTAAATTACATTTTTGTTGATCATAGATAGTAAATAGTTTTCGAGAATGATTAAGAGCTGATTGGGTTAGTATTTTATCGAAAGTATTTCTTTTTTTCGGAGCAGCAGCAGTCTCAATTTATAGGTTAGGTTAGCTATCGGGAGTGCGAAATTCTTTAAAACGCGATCGTTTATTAGGGTGTTCTTAACTAGTTTCGATTTTTATAAAAATGGGAATATTGGATAGATTAAAATTTTGTATTCGGTATTCAGTAGTGAAATATGTGTGCAAGGAATTCAGCATTATACGGAAGACGGCACTCATTGACTCACTTTGGAAAAAATGGCAAACTTTTCGCAAGGATCTAATTATTGGAGAAAATAGCGACCATTTAGTGAAAAAATGGTAAATTATACGACAGGAATCCAAGGAATTGTTTAAACAACGACAAATGGACAAAAATGGATATCAATGGTTTGTTTTCAGTTTATCTACATTGGAATTATTTGTTTGTTTTTACCATCAAAGTTCGTTTAATTTACTCCGATTTTAATCACAATTAAATTACAGATTATTAAATTTAACTACGGATTTAATTAAATTTCACAATATACAATATGCCAATTGAATAAAAAATCCGGGAAAAATTAATATTAAATTTACAGAAATATTTTTTTTTAAATTATTAAGTATTTTCAAAATTTTTAATAAAATTCCTTCAAAAAAATTTAATTATTTTCCAAAAATCAGAGAAAATTCTTCGAAAAAATTCAATTACTTTTATAAATTAAAAAATTCTTCGCAAGAGGAGGTTAAAGTTTTGAACGTTCAAATGAACGAAATTTATTTATTTCTTCTTCAAATTAAATTTTTATTACTATAATTTTGCGTCACTATTAAGCAAATTAATTATAATGTTTCTAAATGTAAAATTTGAGTTTTTAATTTGAATTGTAATCAATAATCTATGAAAATATTTTTAACAAAAAATATTTCGTTCATTTGAACGTTCAAAATTTTTTGTTCATTTCGCAAGAATAAATTCAATTATTTTTATAAATAAGAAAATTCTTCGCAAAAATTAAAATATTTTTATAAATTATAAATAATAATATCCTTCAAAAGAATTCAATTATTTTCAAAAATAATAAAATGTTTCGGAGGAATTCAATTATTTTCAATATAATTTTAATAAAATTTCTCGAAAGTATATACAATTATTTTTAAAAATATCATTTAAATTAAATTGTCAAGAGTTTAAATAAAAATTTAATTATTTTCAACAATTCTGATATAAAATTCTTCGAAACAATTCAATTATTTTTATAAATTGTAAAATTTTTTGGCAAGAAGTCAATTATTTTTGTAAATAATAAAATTCTTCTGAGAAATTCAAATAATTTCAATACAATATTGTAATAAAATTTCTCCAACAGGTTAAATTATTTTTATAAATTAAAATAAGATTTTTCTAAACAATTCAATTGTTCTTAAATTTTTTAAATAAAATTCTTTGTAAATTTCAATTATTTTCAAAATTTTCAATTAAAATTATTTTCAAAAATTACATTATTTTTACGAAATTTAATGAAATTCTTCAAAAATTGAATATAATTATTTACAAAAACTGTAATAAAATTGTTTAAAAGAATTTAATTTTCTATGAACAATTTTAATACCTATTATAATTTAATAAACACGACTATATTTTAAAAACTCAAAAGAGATTCTTTATAAAATTCAATTAATTTCAAAATTTTTAGTAAAAAATATTTTTTAAAAAATTATATATTGATATAATTAAATTCTTATACGAAGAATTTAAAAATAATCTAATTTTCCCTGCAATTCAAGTAAAATTGTATTTAAAATAATTAAATTTTAGGGAAAATTTTATTATTTATGAAAATAATTGAACTCCTGTGAAAAATTCAATTATTTTTTTAAATAAATGAATTTATTCGGAGAATTTTTACAAGATTTTTAAAAATAATTGAAATTTTCTAAGAAATCAATTAAAAATTGTATTGAGAAGAAGTGAAATCCTGATAAGAATTTTATTATTTATATAAAAATATTTGAATTTTCTTACGAAGATTTTTATTATCTATAAATTTACTTTTTGCAAAAAATTTTATTAATTTTTTTTGAAAGAATTTAATTATGGAAAAAATTGTTGATAAAATTCTTGAAATTAATTCAATTATTTTCAAATTTTTTGATAAATACTTTGCAAGAATTCAATGACTTTGAGTACATTAATTTTAAAATTGAAAACATTTGAAAAGAAAAATTATTTAAAAAGTTAGGAATCAAAAAAGCAAACAACAACTAACTTTAAACTGTGAACAGATTACTGCACTGAAAAAAAATTCATTTGATTTAAATAACCGATTAATTGACTATTAGCAATTAAATAATATTTATTGGAGTCAATTAAATTGTATTTGCTTCAAATACTGAAATTATTGTTTTAAATACCATTTAATTGACTCCAATAAATATTATTTGATTCAAGTAAATATTTAATTGATAATAGTCAATTAATAAAATAATTAATTATTAGAATTATATAATAATTAATTTTAATTAATTTTTTATTAATTTTTTATTAATTAAATAATTTTTTTTTCAGTGCGTAATACGATTATTAATATAGATTACGAAAAAATGAGCTAATATATCAATTATAGCAGGGATTATTTATTAATTGAATATTATTTTATGTTTGTCAGTGATTAATTACAAATTGTGTCTTGGGGGAGAAAAATCGGTATAGAGGAGTATGTTAGCAGCGCACACAATATATAGTGGAGAGAATTTCACGAGCAGTGCAATTTGGTCCAGTGCTTTGTTGAGA